CTACTAAATACAGAAAAAAAACAAACAACTAGATTTCATCTTTTAGATCAAAACCAAATGAAGACTTAATCTTGCAAATACCTGAGTTTGTTTGCTTTTAAAGTTGTTTTCCAGTGCTGCACGGAAGCTTTAAGGGAAATAATTCTGGAGATAATCTGCAGAAATAGAGACTTTCTGAAGCCTGTGCATTTTCAACTGTATGAAGGGCCTTGGCACCGCATGAGGAATTGTATTGAAAGCTAGACGAATGACTAAAGAGTGGCAGAGTGGAACTGGAGGAGGTAAAATGCACCATCTTTTCTCCTCTTCCATTTTCTGCGTTCTTTCTCATTTGTCAGAGGTTGGGTCTATAAAAGGAGCAGGATCTCGATGTCAGTTCTAGGTTAGTGGTATGAGAACTGCTTGTCTCCCTGCTTTCTGAGACAGGGTTGCATCGGAGACACTTAACGCCAAGCTGCTTTAACTGAGTTTAAATGTTCTGAGCATGTTGCTCTACATGATAGCCGTCTCGGATAAAAGGTCTGTCTAACCCCTCATCTGTTCAACAGAGGGCAGCATCAGACCTCTAGTAAAGAAAAATGTGTAGCGTTGTCCTCTGGCTCTTGAGGTGAAGAGAGAACCAAGGTCAAGATCCAGGGTACTTGGGTGTAGAGCTACATAAGCATCGGATTGTGCATTTAATCCTTCTTATGTATGTAAGTTTTGGAAATCACGTCAGAACTTTTGAACAGCTGCACCTTATGTAGGAATAAGACTTAATAATTTGCTTTGGGTGAAAGGCTACTCTGAGACTGGAATTTAGTGCCTAAAGAATTGCCACTAACTTCAGGGCAAATGAAGAGCATATTTGTTTTTAAGTGCTTTGAAGTATAACAAGTTGCCAATCTTTATTTCAGGGAGCATGAACAAAGTCTTCTTATTTGTTGGTGTGCAGCCTTTAGACCCTCTCTTTCACTCTCAGCCACGCTCTTGCGATCAAAGTGAAGTCAATAGCTGACATAGCAAATCACTGGATGGAATTTCCAGTATTGAACAAGGGGAAGGAGGTTGTGCCTGGTCTGGTGAAGCAGGACTTGATATGAATGGGGCTTAATGATGTGACTGAAGCTTCACAGGAGAATGCAAAGGCATTGGGCTGCCAAATTTTACTAGCATTTGCTGAGGAGGAGTTTAGTTGTTAATGACACTGGGCAGCAGATGGTCTTAGAAGAGTTGTTAAGACACTGTGGTTTGTACTGTAAATATGTGGGTGAATGGAACCAGGATGCTGACAGTTCACTCTCACAGCTCATCCTGAGAAGGTGACTCGAGTGGAATCTGATATTGCCAGAACATGAATTTCCTGGTATTTGCCAGTCTGCTATGTATCTGGGAAGAATTTTGCAACATAACAGTGGGATGGTACTTGAGACGCACTTGGCTGTGTTTAGGTCAGAACCAAGAACATCTTATGCCCAATCAGCCTGGCTTCACTGCTGGTTTTTAGACCTGAAGGTACTGAACCTCTGCAGTTTTGCTACAAGAAACTACAGGAGTTAATTCCAGTCTTCTGTTTTCCTTTGATTCCAAGAGAGCATTCATACTACAAATGTATTTGAATTGTTGATCCACAAAATCATCATAGAATCACAGAATGACCTAGGCTGGAAGGGACCTTAGAGAACATTTTAATCCAGTCTCCCTGTCGCCAGGGACGCCACCTCTCGACTAGATCAGGCAACACATGGGGACCGAACGGGAATCGAACCCTCAACCTTGGCATTGTTCGTGCCACGCTCAACTCACTGAGCTAACCTGTTACAGGAAGAAGTTCTCTCTCTCTTACCACAAATCTGGTCTTGACCTACTCTTCTTTTTTCTCACAAAATAACTTCCAGCCCGTCCATCCAAACCAAAAAATACGATTGTGGATTGGCTTTTTATTTTGGTTTAATGGGGTGTGGCACAAAGTATTTAATCCAAGTCCTTTGCTTAATTTTGTCTCGTCTCTTCTTTTCCTCATCTTAGTTTGCTTACTCATGCAGCTTTTAGTATGACTTGAAGAAAATAACAATATAAACTATCCTAAGTGTGATTCATACCATGAAATACACTGTGAGAATTACACAGATATATTAGAAACTTAGTGGACAGCATGCAGGGACACAGCTCCTGTTGTTCAGCAACAGGACCCTTACTTGTGCCTGTGCCCTGACAAAAGAACACCAAATTAAAAACCTCTGATAAATAAGCCAACAAAAGTTTAGTTGTTGCCATGTGTTTGCAAGTGGGATGAGTGGGAAGAATTTGAGACTCTTCAAGTGTGTGATTACCCATTGAAACTAGGGTTCTCTTTGATGCTGTGATCTTCAGTGCGATTATAATCTTCGTGGACAAATCTCTAGAAGCCATTTTCTTCCAGTCTTGATGTCATCTTTTCCTGACCAGTTTCATGGATTTGGGTGGTTTTTTATTATTATTGTTTTAGGTGGGTTGTTTTTTTCATGGCATTTGGGGTTTTTTTTTTTTGCCTACTTTGTTTAAAATTGACTGTCACCTTCTTTCTTGAAATGATTCTTCCTCTGCACAGTGTCCTAGATGAAGTCATAAGTGAGAGATGAGTTTAAGAATTCATTTATTATCAAGGAGGGGAAACAAGCTGGTTTGGACAGGTATTTGAAAGGACACATCCACTAAATCAGTGCCCCTACTTCAAGATAGCTCAGTAACTGGGTCCAGCTTTTTGCTTTGGTGTCCCTTACTGTTTGGCCTCTGTCAGGCTGCTTGGAGAGTATTTGTCCCCGTCTTGTGGTCTGTTCACAGACGCAGAGCTGCTTTGCTGCTGCTCCATAATGCAAGAGGTCTTTAGGGAACTGAATCCACTGTCAACAGGACTCGCTAAATGTCAGTGAATCAGTGTTAACCAACACTGATTCAACAAAAATGTGTATAATGTATTGTTGAGTTCTTTGCATGAGGTAGCACTAACAAATTGTCTCTGTAGTCTTTTGACATTTTCTATAGTCTGGCCTCGCAGGAAGATCAAAAAAGTTCTGGGGGCTTCTTGTCTTTGTAATGACAGTATTGTCCTTTTTGTAAGATGTATTTTTTTTTTTAGTTGGGTTTGAGAACTTTCAGCTTTGTCGATAATAACTTCTTAATTTCTTGATCATCTCATGATGGTTTTCAGCCTGAATAATTGAAATAGAGAGCTGATATGTAGGCAGCCAAGCTGACTGTAGATTTGGTAAGTTTGTCCTCCTGAATGTCAGGCTCTTGTTTCAGTATTCCCACAACATTCCCTCTGCATTATATTTAGCATACCTTGTGATGTTAAGTTGCACCATTTTTTTTCTGGGAGAGTGTAATCTCTTATACTGTCCAAAGGCCAAAACCTTCAGAACAATTTTTTACTAAATGCATTAACAGTACAACTTTGGGAGAGTTGCATTTGGTCTCAGCATTGTTTGGGCTTTGACTAAACTAAAATCTGTGTTTGCTGGTACTTCTGATCCCTGGTCTTGCAGAAATATAGTATCTCTTTGAGAGGAGCGGAAATGTTGTTTGCCAGTCCATTGCCTCTCATCAAAGGCAAATTATAAAGTCTAATTTCTAAAAGGGAAACATTTTAATGCTAGTAATTACTGTTCTGGTGAAATACTGAGGCTGGAAAAAGCTGAATTATGTCAAATAAAATCCTCAGTTAACTCCTATTAGGGAATAGTTTCAAACAGTAGTATTATGTTACGCTTTACTTTCTGAAGGCGCATAATTCTTGCCATCACTGAGTGACAGATACGCATGGACCAGTTGGAAAATACCACAAAGGGAGGACTTTTAAATGTTCGCATTTGCCTTAATGACTTTATAAAAAAAGATCTGCTAAAAATCTCCTGCAATGAATATGACCCTCAACAGTAATATTTATGCTGTGTGATTGAAGTGTTTGTCCTGTTATTGTTCACAATGTAATTAGGCTTATAATCTAGTAAATATGACATACTATCATGTTCCACTTTGTAAATGTTATTGACTCCATTTTAAGACTGAGATTGCCTTGTGCCAACAAATAAAAGAAAATCATGGCCTCATAAAACCTTCCAATTATTTAGATGTGCACTCTGTGGGTTTCTGTTGGAGTCAAATTTGAGACTGAACCAAGGTGAATACTGAGCACAGGTGCAAGCTCCAGGGCAGGTGACTTTCCAGCCTCTTTTTTTTTTTGTAGACTTCAGCTGTCTGCTTTATCTCATTAAGTTTAAGGGGGAAAAGAGGTACATCTGCATAGATTTTAAACCTCATCTGCACAGGCATATTCATATTGTGCTTCTGTCTTATTTTTTCGTGTTTCTAGATAATGACCAGTATCGATTTGCTGGTAATCCAATGTAGCCAGGTATGTGTATTGATCAGTTAGTTATTCACTCATGGGAGATAACTGAAAATGGGCTTGGCTGAACAGTGTGCGTTTTAGGGCTGAACTTAATATTTTGTAAACTTCATTGTATCTTAAATGGGCAAGAACTTGAACAGTAGATTATTTAAGTGGTAAGTAGAATGAGCCATCACTAAAAATGATTTTTTTGTTTATTTTGTGCTTGCTGTTAAAGACCGTTAATAAAACTGCTGTTTTGTATCATACTTTCTTTCAACTCAAAGCAATGAAACAATCCAAGTCTCTGACGCTCTGCTATTTTGAGACTTGTGTGTGCTACATGATCTCAGAGGATGGGCACTGTTCCTCTTTGTTAGTCCATGAGAGCATTTGTTGTCATTGTCTCTCTCTCTCTCTGCAGTGGTATTTGTTAGTCAAAATATGTTACAGTACTGGCAGTAATTCTCTGAAGAATACAAAGCAAGAGCAGATTCCAGATAGGAGGCTTTTTTGATACAAACTTTGATTTTATTGCAGTAGCTATTAGATGCTGTTTCTACATCAGCCGCTGTACAAACAGAGCAGAAGATGGGTCTGATGGAGCTCACTCTAATTGCAGTTTCTCACTGTGAAAACTCTCCCACAGCTGTGCCAGCAAACATCGCAGACCTGAGAAACATAGAAGTGCTCAACTTTTTCAACAACCAGATTGAGGAGCTGCCCACGCAGATTAGCAGCCTTCAGAAGCTCAAACACCTGAATCTTGGGTGCGTATCTTAATGCAAAAGTTTGCTGTAATAGAGGTACTGTCAAAGGCTGTTACAACTGAACCTAGGACATATTATTTTTTGATATTAAAGTTTCTTTTTGAAAGTGTTTGAGATGATATCTTGGCAATTGTGGCTTCAGAATGTTTAGTTCATATACTGGATAATCGGATACTTTAAAAGTGATCAAAGACTTATTCTGGGTATACTGATATCTAATACTGAAGTCAAACACTGAATTTTACATTCCTAGCAGATGGTTGCTATGTAAAAGCCAGGCTATATTTCCTGTTCTACCCTGGAAAAAAAAAGGAACCCAAATGCTAATTTTTCCATGGTAATTTAGGACTTCAATTCCAAAGTACCAAATTTGGGATTAAAGAAACTTTAATTTCTATTAAACCTGTTAAAGAAGCATCAAATCTTTAAATGTCATGTGCATTTAATTCAAAGAGCTGGTATTGACTGAATTTGAGCCAGAGGCATTCCTGTCAAGTGTTCAGATACTATATTCCAGTAGAGTTGGTGACACCTTATAGTAACTACAGTTGCAGAAGGCCTTCTTGAATTATTAAGAAAATAAATGTGAAGCACAGAACCTTCTTAAGAGTATACTTAGGAAAGCACTGGTAGGAGTAAGCTTTAGCTTTGTAGGCTTCCCATAAAAGAAATGTTTATATTTTATAAATTCAAACTTGTGAACACCTTAAATTGAGGATTTTTTTTTTTTGCTGTTTTTAAGCACCAAATGATTTTGGCTTATATCCTGCCTTAGATACTTTTGTAAAGTGCTGTTAATTGCCTTATATCTTGAACTGTTGGAATGCAAATAAATGTTTTCATGATGATCTGTCTCCTGCAGTATTTATTTGGTCACTTCAGATCCCTAGCACACCTTAATATCTGTTTGAACCTGGAATTGCTTTTCTGAGCAAAAAATAATTCATGATCAGGATTCTCTGTATTTTAGGGATGAAATCCATGTTTTGGGAGTGGCATATAGAAATGTTGCAGTGTATTGAGGGAGGAAGAATTTGGATTCTTTTCACTTATTAAAGCAGCGACAAGTGAACGTCGAATATAGGAAGTTCCACCTCAACATGACGAGAAATGTTTTCACTGTGAGGGTAACAGAGCCCTGGCACAGGCTGCCCAGAGAGGGTGTGGAGTCTCCTTCTCTGGAGACTTTCAAAACCCGCCTGGACGCGTTCCTGTGTGGCTGCCCTCGGGCATCCTGCTCTCGCAGGGGGGTTTGGACTAGGTGGTCTCTAGAGGTCCCTTCCAACTCCTCACATTCAATGATTCTGTGTGTTACTATGGTTCAAATATTGGTCTTGAGTAATGGAGAAAAATGTAGTGCAGAAGTCCACTTGGGATTAAGACCAGCAGACATTTAGTTCTGGAAGTGCAGTTGCCACCTTTATGTGCCATATGGCCCAGCATCTTGTAGACTGAATGCTCTTCCTTTTTAATCCCCTCTTTACTTATAGTATTCCAGGCACAGGATTTACAGCCCAGCCTTAGCTCTGAGTCAAAATGGGTTCTGCTTCAGAGGTCCTTGGAGTCAGTGGAAACTGTTCTGCCCTAGTAGTTCGCCGGGGGGCAGCTCAGAATCCCTCCTGTCTTCTGCAGTGCGTGTGTGTACACACAGGGCGTGAACACAGCTCTCTGGGGGAAAAGGGAGCTTGAATGAGGGCATAGGTTGTTTTGGGGAGAATTTTGGTGCAGAAGGATCAAGGGCTGGGAGTGGAGAGAGAGAGAGAGGGTGCCCTGTGGCACTAAAAATTTTTTTAAACAGCAAAATAAAATTTAGAAGGCAGATGTGGCACAGCTTCTGTGCCACAAGCTCAGTGTTTGAACTTCTGCAGGGCCAAATAGTGCTGGGTAAGAATTTTCAGCTGGTTCTTTTTCCATGCCAAAGGATAGATACTATTCTGGCTGTAGGCAGAATGCTTTTTCTTGCCCTGTTCCTTGCTTACAGAAGGGAAGGCTGTCAGGACAACTTACTCTTTTTACTAGTGAAAAAGGGCCTGCTTTCTTTAGTCCTGTTTGATATCAAGAACAGTGTTAAAAGCAGTGACAAGTCTGCATTAGCAGTGGTGGAGAATGCCTTTCTATATTTTAATGGTTGCTACTACTAAAATAGTAATACTAGGTGCATGTCCCTGGTAGGACTTCTTATGGAGGATGAGGAAGAAGATGATTTCATTTAGAGCTTTGCTACAGAGAGCTGGTCTCTAAAGGTTCTTGTCCTGGGGTGCTGGTTTATGCAAAGGTGGAAGAGAAGTGAGATTAGTGTCTGAAAGTCTGTAAAAGTAACATGTATGTGCTTCTGCCTTTGCTCACCTGGATATAGTCATTGTGCTTAGGCTGGAGGTGTAGCGGCTCTGGTATTCGGTGTCCAGAGAATGTTTAGAAGATGGGCTTATTAGCTGTCCTTGTCGTGGTTTGACCTTGGCTGGCAGTCAGGTGCCAACACACCTGCTCTCTCACCCCCTGTTCTCCACTAGACAGGGGGAGAAAATATTTCAAAGGGCTCAAGATTTGAGATAAGGACAGGGGGATCATGTTCATTTAGCATCCCGGGCAAAACAGACTCGATTTTTGGGAAATCAGTTGAATTTACTGAAAGAGCAAATCAGAGAAGAGTAGTGAGGAATGAAAAAAGAACCCGATCTTAAAAGCAAAACACCTTCCCTCCATCCCTCTCTTCTTCCTGGGCTCAACATCAATCCCGGTTTCTCAACCTCCTCACCCCAAGCGGCGCAGGGAGACGGGGAAGGTTTACGGTCAGTTCATCTGACATTAGTTCCACTGCTTCTTCTTCACTCCGGAGGAGGACTCTTCACTCTTCCCCAGGGTCATTGTGGGGTCCCTCTCACGGGAGACAAGCTTCACACTCTCTTCTCTGGCGTGAGTCGTCCCACGAAAGGCAATTCATCACAAACTGCCCAACGTGAGACACCTCATGAGGGGCAACCCCACCCCTCGTGAGCCTGAGGTGCAGTCCTTCCAGGGAAACTGCTCCAGCGTGAGTCCCCTGCAGCGTCACACCCCTCAGGCATCCACCTGCTCTGGAGTGGGGTCCTCCACGGGCTGCAGGTGGACATCTACACCCCATCACCTCCATGGGCTGCGGGGGGACAGCCTGCTTCACCACGGGCTTCACCGCAGCCCAGGGCACTCTCCTCCAGAACCTGGAGCACGTCCTCCCCCCCTCTTCTTCACTGACCTTGGTGTCTTCACATATTCTCACTCCTCTCTCTCTCTGCCAGTTATTGTGTGGCATAGTTCTTTTTTCCCTGTTTCTTAAATATGTTTTCACAGAGGTGTTCCTATCCTACCATTACGGATAGGCTCAGCCTTGGCCAGTGGCGGGTCCCTCTTTGGAGCTGGCTGGCATTGGCTCTGTCAGACTCAGGGAGCTTCTAGCAGCTTCTTGCAGAAGCCACCCTACAACTCCCCACCACCACCAAAATCCGGCCAGGCCAACCCAATACAGTCCTGCAGAGGGATTTAATAGTATTTATCACATAATATAGCACAGTGTTTGCACACTGTGCAAGAGAGAAGGCCACGGAGATTAGAGCCAAAAGTCTTTATTATTTTGGAGTACTCAGCTTTGCCAATACTTTGACTTGAATTTTCCCAGTTTTTAGTGTTACACCAAGCTTCCTACGTTCATGTTACATCTCCTCTTGACTTCAGTTGTGGCTGTTGCTATTTATTGCTTTTGCATCACAAGGAAAGTCAAATTCAGAATGTCTTTGGAGATCACGTGAAAAGTCATGATTGTTTCCAATCATCACAAAAGAATAAAATCAATTTCTTTGAAATAGCTACCTGTACATGCTCTTCCTAAAGATGCCTGTTTTCTCTGTGTCACTTTCAAACCCAGGTGACAAGTGAAGCAAGATCCATACGAACAGGCTATGTTTGGGGTACATGCAATAGCAACACTATGAATGATACCGTTCGTATGACAAGCAGCCAGAGCTCCAGCTCATGCACAGACAGTAAGATTGTATGAATGTAGTTCCAGCTCCTTGGCTTTCTGCATTGTTGCAGCAGCTCTAATGATTATCTGGATCACCTTGTTCAAGGCCTTTGAGGTCAGAGAAGAGTTACTCTTTTCTGTAGCTTATGTGCTTCAGGTTGTCAGAGAAACTTTTTCCTTCGGTTAGCTTTCCTCAGGTTCTTCTGGCTGTTGCTGTTGGGAATTGCGATCCTAAAGTCTCTAAGAGTGGCTGAACGAGCTATGTTTAGACTAAGCTTCATCAATCAGAGTACTGACATTTTATTTACTTCGTGCTCTGTGTGCGTCAATAGTTATCTAGTGACACAGATTTGCTGTTCTTAAGAAGGGGTTTAAGCAGCAATTATCATTGAACTTCAAAACTGTGCAGTTGAGATATTCCTCTTCCTATTTGGTACCACGGTGAAGATCTCTGTGATAGGGCGGGATGGCAGATGCTCAAGATGATGTGCAAAAGGGTAGTTTGTAGTTCATCTGGAAGACAGGTCATCTGCCAAGGACTCTCTTTCTCCATGGCACACTGTTGAAGCTGAGCACTGTGGCATCTCCCTCTTGTGCTTTCAGGTGTGGTTGTTGATTGACATAATGGACGGAATCCTTTGCAAACGCTTAAGTTTTCTGCATATTTATGGGATTGAGAGATTAAAAAAAGATCTGAGTTGCAAAAGGCTTGCTCAGTATCTTGTAGCGTGAACCCCTTTTCAAAACAAAAGGAAAGCTTGCTGCACATTACATTTTTTTAGAAATGAAACTCTTGTTGCCTGTATTATTCCTACTAGATTTAGTAAATACTTATGTCCTGTTGTGTTTTTTTCCTCTTTACCTGCAGCATGAACAGGTTAAATACCTTGCCGAGGGGATTTGGCTCTTTACCAGCTCTAGAGGTTCTTGACTTGACTTACAACAACTTAAATGAAAATTCTCTCCCTGGAAACTTCTTCTATCTGAGTAAGAAACTTTTCTAAAAACTACAAATCTTAATGATATGATACTTTGCTTTCTGCAGTGGAAATTTATTTGATGGAGATCAAACTCCAACAGAATTCTTCTGATATTTATGTTTTTCTTTGAATCTCTCTTGAATATTTCTACATAGCTCAGCAATATTTATCACTGATATACAGTTACCTGACACCATTGGACACGAGAAGACTTGGCTGGTAATGCTGTATCAGTTTGCCTCTGAGTAATATTTCCTTGGGTTTGTACTCAGTTAAAACTTAAAACTTCACAGAAGCTTGCAAGCCTCAGGGGAGAGTAAGCTGTTTTGCAAGGCAGCTGTTGTGTGTTGACTCCGGAAACAATTGTGTTCCTGATGGCTCATTACTGAAATAGTTCATGTGGATGTTGAAGTGTTGAAGATATTGAAGTGTTCCAGTATTTAAAAAATATGCTAAGGTTACGAAGCTTGGCACAAGAATGGTAGAGCTAAGCAGACCTTTGCACATGTTAAAAATACACACTCTGAGAGTTAAAATAAAGGTATTGTAATGCATATGTGCAAAAGGGCTGCGTTACGGTTGCCTAAGCAACTTGAATTCTGGCGCTTTCTGGATTTCAGTGATTCTGCTACCTTGCTGGTCTTTTCAGCATACTCTGCTGAAGTGACTTCTGGATCGATGCATTTAGCAGCAAAAGTGGCAGATGAGGGGAGAGGAAGGAGTGCTGCTGGCCAAGAGATTTTGTGCTTGTGACCTGGCAGAGGGAAATTTAGTCAGCGTTACTTAAAACGGTCACATTTAATGAAATGAAAAGAGGAGGAGTAAACTGCGAGAGACAAATGGGATCTTGTGGGGAGGAGAAGTTTTGCTGACTTGACCACCTGCCTTTCTGCGGCACCCAACAGTTCTTTGTGAGTCTCCATTTTCTTTTTTTTCTTTTTTTTTCTTTTTTTTTTTTTTCAAACTGTCATGTATGCTCATTTGGTAATAGCAAGCTACATGGTTGTGCTGGGTCATCTCTTTTTCTGTGAATGTCAGAGAGACTAAGCATGGAAATTGCAAATTACACAATTTGAGTCTTCTGTAATTGCTTTCTTTTAAGGTCTCTTTCGTAGTGTTAGGCTGTGCTTTCTGTCAAGCTTAACATAGACATATACTTCTCAAAAGAGCAGATGATTTTTTAAATGTTTGTTTAGAATGCAAATTCATGCAATAAATAAGAATCAGGAGTAATAAAGAGTAATGAGTGTATTCTGACAACAGCCAAGCATTAAGATGATATACCAGAACCTTCCAGAATCTACTGTTGTAGAAATTGTTAATTGTGTCAGTCTTTTTGAATATAGATTTTTTTCCTGAACTCGCCAACAATACAATAAACTGGTAAATCTAAGTTTGACCTGGTTGTTATTGTTGTGAGCCTTGGGTATGTCAAAGGCTTTTCACAAAGTCAGGATTATTAATCAAACCTGACTCCCTTTTATTGATTAGACCTCAAATGTTTGGGTTACATGCCACCCTGTTTATATATTGCTGTTTAATTTGCAGCCACCCTGCGTGCTCTCTATCTAAGTGACAACGATTTTGAAATCCTGCCACCAGATATTGGGAAGCTCACAAAGTTGCAGATAGTAAGTAATTTATCTAAATTCTTGGAAAATCAATTCACTTTTGCAATGCTTGTAGGTATAGAATCTCGTCAATATGAGGAGTAGTAGGGTATATTTGCAGGAATAGACCACTATACCTGGAACTATTTCTTCTTTACCAGCAGACACTTGTAAATAAATTGCAAGAATTGTCTAGGAGAAAGGTGGGGGCAGAGGGAGTCAATTGCTGTTTTAGGCTACTTTGTTGTAACCCAAAAATTGTTTTAACTACTTTATATTCACTCCTAGTTGAGTCTTAGAGACAATGACCTGATATCACTGCCTAAAGAAATTGGTGAGCTCACTCAGCTTAAGGAACTTCATATCCAGGGAAATCGTCTTACTGTGCTGCCTCCAGAACTAGGTAAGATTATGGATGATCATTTAATTATTTGAATAATGATGATAATGATGCACTGTGCTTCGTTTGAAATTAAACCTGTTGTTAAACTCTCAGAAATTATTAACCTTAAGTTGTCATTGCTGCTAGTATTTATTTTCCTCTGAGAAACACACACTTTTTCACTCCTACTGGATATACAGGAGGGGCCAGAATATAATGTGTGTTTGCTTTTATTAGTTTTTTATGTGTTGCATATCCTTGTGTGTTAGTACACCTGACATCCAACTGGTATCTAGCATCTTGCTTTATATAATGTGTTGTTAAGTATTGGGTCTGCAAAGCTGTTCTTATCTCTCGCTGGGTTTTGAGAACACTCTTTGGATCAACCAAAAATTATATTAAGCAGAAATGACAGCAATATAAGTGGTTTGTTGGTTTGGGTTTTTTTTGGTGACTATTCCTAGAAATGGAAGCTTGATCAACTGGAGTAAAATAAAGTTAAATTAGAGAAATTTTCCATTTTTCTGTTTCAGTAGCCTACCTTTCTTAGTGAATTGACAGCTCTTTCGCTTGCAGGAGTGAAACTGGTTTCCATGTTTTGAATTTGTAATATTGGCCGTTTAAGTGCTTAAAACTGGCTTCTTTCAACCTGTAGAGTTTTTCTTTGAAACTCAAGAATTGATTTTGCTAAATTTATGTTGCAGTATTACATTTTATATGACAGGCATTAACTTCAATAGAAGTTGTGCCTGTTTGCTCCAAGCCAGAATTTGGTTTCAGATATTTTTGAAGATTGTCATAAAATATTATTGGGAATAATGTAGCTGCATCAATTATCTGTTGTTGAAATAGCTGTTACACAGGGTTTATTCCTTGTTTATTTTTATTGTGGACTGTTATATAGGGAAGTTTCTTTGTTTCTACTAACACCTTTCAAATAATAGTTCCCAAAACTACAGAAACACAGTGAGAGAAGTTAGCAGGATAAATTATATCTCGTCATAAGAACTTGCTTTGACCCATTAGAGAATGTGGCAGATGTGTATAAATGAAACAGTGTGCAATGTATGCTTTTTGTTTAGTACAGCAAAGTGTCTGCTATTTTCCTGTGAGGTGGGGGAAGATGTTTGGTTTGACTTTTATTTGTTTATTCACCGTGTTTTTTTTTTCCTTTATCAATCTAGCAGACTGTAGAGGCAGAGTGTTTTTATTATTTTTTTTCTCACCAATGGTAGATGAAAGTTGCTCTTATTTCCTTGATTTCAGATGTTTAATTCTTGATACAGGTATACTCTTTTTAGCTTTTTGTCAAAGTCATATTTATTTACAAATTCTCTTTAAACATCAATAACATTCCAGAAGCGTGTAGTATCTGTAAATGTGCTTGTGTGTAGCTTCCTAAATTATAGCCTTGTTTTTTCCAGGAAGTGAAAGTTAAATGCTACACTGAGTCCAGCCACCTTCAGTGGCTAATTAAATGTTCTAAACATGCTGCTACCTTACAAGCATAAATGCAGATTCACTTTAAATGGTTTTACCATCATTGTCCAAGCCAAATGGAAACATTTGAAACAAAATTATTGATATTTATTTTGCACTGACCAATGAAACTCAAGGAAGCATTTATCTTTTTAGTTAACATCTGTTTGCATAGATAAATACCATAATTGATTAGAAAAAGGACTTGTAATTTTGCCCCACTGATCAGGATGAGGTGCATTGACACAGCTTAAGTGCTTGTCACCTCAGTTCTTTTACTCAAATGCTATTCTATAAATTATACTTTTCTCTTCATGTATTACCAAAGTTTTGGGGTTTATGGTCTTACCCCAGATCCTCATCCAAGATCAGTTGTTGTAATTTCTATTGCAGTCTGTGCCATGCATAGGGCTAGAATAATAGAATGATTTGGCTTGGAAGGGACCTCCAAGATCATCGAGTTCCAACCCCCTGCCGTGGCAGGGACGTCTCCTGCTAGATCAGGTTGCTCAAGGCTCCATCCCGCCTGGCCCTGCACACTTCCAGGAATCGAGCATCCACAACCTCTCTGGGCAACCTGTTCCAGTGCCTCACCACCCTCAGGGTAAAGAACTTCTTCCTTATATCTCGTCTAAACCTACGCTCCTCCAGCTTCCACCAATTCCCCCTCGTCCTGTCACTACAGGCCCTTGTAAAAAGTCCCTCCCCAGCCTTCTTGTAGGCCCCTTCAGGTGCCGGAAGGCCACTGTAAGGTCCCCTTGGAGCCTTCTCTTTTCCAGGCTGAACAAGCCCAACTCTCTCAGCCTGTCCTCACAGGAGAGGTGTTCCAGCCCTCTGACCACCTTGGTAACCCTCCTCTGGACTCGCTCCAACAGCTCTGTGTCTTTCTTGTGTTGAGCGCTCAAGAGCTGGACAACTATCTCAAATACTTAAAAAAGCCTAGATTTTGGAGTATATTTCCAGAGAACATTACACTGAAGCCTAGGTTTCTAATTTGTGCAATTTGCAAGCATATTTTCTGTGCGAAGCAATGTTCTTGCTTGTTTAATAAACATCTAAGCAAACATTTAGCAAATGGATCATCGGGCTGGGCTTTGGAGGACTTGTTTGAGATCCGGTAGGAGCGGGCCACAGGCATGCATGGATCCACTGAATGAATAGAAAAGTCATTTCACTCTGCAGCCCTGTTTTCCTTTCTGCGAATTAGGGCAGTTTAGAGAAGCCCAGCTTTGCAGGCAGTTTTAAAGTCTGCTGATGAAAGGTGGTGTGCAAGCGTTACACCCTAATGAATGGACTGCTAATTCCATAATCATCATCTGAGGGGAAAAAGAATTTTACCTGCTTTTTGACTTCTACCCCTAAATTTTTTAAGTTGAATTATAATTTAAGGAGAGGTATCCAAATACTTTGTGCTGTGCATGTTGAATAAATAGCTATTCAATGAGCAGGTCGTATTTGCATTGTTTGGAGATGCTGCTGTTCCATTTAAAGTAAACAGACTTTCCTCTCTCATTGTCACTTTCATGATGAAAGATGCTGAAGGCTTTTGACTGGCTTAGTTCAGGAGCTAGTGGACATCAGTGAGTCATTAGATGCTCATTTACCAGGGAGATGGGCATAATATAAACACCACAACAAAACAGTGGATTTGAATGAGGAGAAAGGGAGGAGAACATTAAGCTGTTTTTTAAAGGTAATAGAAATAAGGGCGGAAAAGGCATGGAGAGTAGGGTGTGAGAAAAGGCTGCAGACAGGGATTGGGATCACAGTTCTGGAGCGGAGAGACGCTACAGAATCACAGAATTACTGAGGCTGGAAGAAACCTCTGAGGTAATCAAGTCCAGTCTATGACCCAACACCACTATATTGGCTAGACCATGGCACTAAATCCCACATCCAGTCTTTCCTTAAACACCTCCAATGATGATGCCCACTTCCCTGGGCAGTGCACCCCGATGTCTGACCACCCTCTCCATGAGGAAGTGCTTCCTGAGATCCAACCTAATAAACCAAAAAAAACAACGCTGCAGTCTGCTCTTAATTTCACCTGACATGACTGAGGCCGTAAGAGGACGGGGGCGAATCAGTATTATCCTCCTCTGCGTTTAGCAGAGAGAATCCATCACTAATTTAAGAAAAATATTCTTGCCCGGGAGAAAAACGAGGGGTCTAGAGGAGCACACTGGTGCTCTGGGTGAAGGTGCTTGTCTGTAAATACAGTACGTGTGAGTGATGAATGCAGGAAATGGCCGGGAGTAGGTGGGTGGAATTTGCAACTTGTTTTTATCATTTGTCTCTCAAAAATCCGTTCATGAGGAATGGTGGTGGGCAGTCATATATAAACTTAAAAGAAGCACTGGCATTTTTTTTCCTAGCATTTAAAAGGTTATGTGCTGCATTGTGAGACAAATAAATCATGATTCACTGCAACAACAGAGTTGCAGTCAGTTATATAAATTGCCAAGGAAGCACTAAATCTGTCACTTTATGTATTCTGACCATTTAACAATTGGAACCGTGTTTGGGAAGAAAGCCAAGTAGAAACAAGAACCACGTGAAATGGCAGATGCAGTTAGTAAGATCAATGCTTGTGTTTTAAGTATGGTCATCTGGGTGGACCCATATGTGCCACATAAAAGATTTTCTTAGCAGAGTCAGGAGTGGAAGAGAATGGTACAGAATATTCACAAAGTTGTAGCTAAGTGTAAATAGCCACCCAGAAAAGGTAACTAGCTTATCTGTAGGTTTATTGTTTGTATGTGAAGACAACAACACGATTTTTAAAATACAGATTCTAATGTTAACTGTGTTCGCTACCCTTCTGCCAACACACGTGTGTGCACTTGTACACAGAGTTTGCTCGTGTTTGTGCACGTGGGAAGAACAGTGATTTTTAAGGATGCATTTTTAGTTACCATTCTCTTTTCCCAAAGCTGTATGTTTGCATCAATGCCTTTTAAGTATACTATTCAGTAGTGTGCTAATTTATCAAATAGTTTCCTCAGGTAAAGGGGACACTATCAAATATAAATTTAGATACATATTTGAAAAGTGGAAAACTCAAGCTCTTTAAAACCACCAAAACCTGGTGGGGTAAGTAGCCGTGGTCCTTTAAAAGGAAGTTGCAACATTTCGTAATTCAAATCTGTATGTCAGACGGCTAAGTAATTCTTTCATCTTTTTTAGTTTTTAACAGCTAAATTATCTTCTGTGGATAAAGGATTGGCTTTAAATAGAAAGTTCAGGGAATCCTGCCAGTAGTCTCAATATTTCCATCACAAGAAGACATTTTAGAGTTTGGCCTTTGAAATTACTCTGAAAATTATGAATGAATATTATATTATGCAAAGTAGTTGCTGCAGTTATTTGTTCACCTTAGTATTAATCAAACTAGCAGTTTGCTTAGGTAATTATAACAGCCGTGTGCAAACATAGGAATCACTTCACAAAAGAGAGTTCTTTTCTAAATATACTTGACATAAATGCTAAACTGTCCTTATTTCGGTATAAACTGTCGCTGCACTCTGCCTGTGTCACAACAC